AGAAAGTATCATGAGAGCTATTTGAAGTGTTTAGTTTTGTAGGAAACTTGATATGCATATTGTTAGTATGTGATGTTGAACTTGTGAGTGAGGGTGCCCCAACCTTTTGTGCCAAAGTAAATAACCATCAGTGTCAACACTCACTGTCAAGCAATGTGGAGCAATGGTATGTGTATGTGTAGTGCAGTTCTCGATAATAGGTGTGCAATTATTGGCAGCAACAAAAGCAGAACACAAATAAGAAACATATGAATGTGCAGTACAATTTTCGGTTGTAGATGTGTGAGTATTAACATCAGTAGAAATAGAACACAAATCAGAACCATGTGTTAGAGCAGTACACATATCAGAACAAGAAATTTTATTATTCAGAGATGAACCACACTGAGCAGTATTAGGAACATTGGCTACATCATCATTATTTATGTTAGACACATACTGATTACCAGTATCAGACTCAATGTATCTAATAGAAGTACTACAGATTTTATTGAAGTCATATTGACCTTGACCATTAGACTCTACTGACACAAAAGAGGCATCAAAGTGACCTTGATCATCAGGTCGAGTTGAAACACGTGAAGAACCAGACTCAATTGAAGTAAATGAATTTCTACAATGTTTTGAAATATGTTGAAAGTCTTGTGAAGCAAGAGCAGGAGTATTGGTAGAGGCTACATTAGATGATAAGGCAGTGGCAGATAACAAATGAGGGATAGGTAATGACTGGGTAGAGGAGGAATTTAGCTAATACAAACCACCTTTAAGGTCCCCTTGCAGTAAAATTGCTCATGTGTACTTGTCCTTAACAACACAGCAGTTAGAGTCAAATTCAACAATAACATTGTTGTCTTTAGTGAATTTAGAGATGCTAAGTAAGTTTTTTGTTATCTTAGGCACACATAGAATGTTTTTAAGGTGTAAACACTTAGAATGAAAGGCACTTGGAATAACAGAATGGCCAATATGAGAGATAGGGGGATACTTACCACTGCCTACTTGAAGTTGATCCTTTCTAGAATAGCCTTTGCTGAGATTCAGATGATGGAAGTCTGAGGTAACATGATCAGTTGCTCTCGAGTCCATATACCATATTGGATCAGTGGGTGTGAGTGATGTGGCAAAAGCAAACTGCTGCGGTTGAGGAGAGGACTGGGCAGGAGATGTTAAAGGGTGATACTGTGGAGCAGGTGCTGAGTTTACATAGTAAGCTTCGCTTTGGCTTGGCATCTGTTGACTAGGAACACCAAAACCATTAGCTGTAGCATTATCAACAGACAAGGTAACACTAGAATTAAATCTGTTAGATGGAGTGCCCAAATGAGAAGAGTGAGTCTGTTAAGCATAAGGTAGTTTCCCAAATCCACTGTATGGACGATTGCCAGATGTATACAGTCCAGTGTTGTTCAACTGAAGAACATTATGGTGAAAGTGGCTATTGGGTTGTGAGTGAGTAAAATTTTCATAAAAGGAGCTTGGCTATTGTGATGTGTTTGCTGTAGAGGATTGAAGCAATCCATTATAGGCAGGATTGTACCTATGATAACACTGACTAGCAGAATGTCCTGCTTTGTTACACAATTGACAAATCAACTTGCCTCTCCCAGAATTTCGACCTCTGCCCCTACCATATGACATCCTTCCAAAAATAGGTGGTCTATTATGATATATAGATTGCCCAAGACTTTACCCAAAATTCTGACCAAACTGTTGAGGAGCAGCTAAAAGGGGATATTAGGGATAATGAGGATTACCTAGTGATATTAAGGTAGGTGTAATAGGATAAAGGGAACTAGGCACTTTGTCAGGTTGTGAACCTTCTACCTCAGGTTTGGAAACACGATTTGTGTCACTGGTGGAACCATGTGAACTGTTTAAAGTAACAGTTGAGGCTATATGTGCTGAACAGTTGTACAAATCTATTGCATTGAACTTTTCAAGTCTTATTTCATACTTCTACAGTAAAAATTGAGCCTCTTGCAGTGTGACAGAATCAAATTTTGACTCAATGCATGATGTTAAATTTACTACCACAACATCAAATTCAGGTCCTAGCCCATCAAGAACATACTGTAAGAGATCTTCATCAGCAATTACCATTCCACTAGCTAACAAACTTTCAACAATTTCTTTCATTTTCTTAACATAATCACCTACACTTAGATTGCTTGCCTTTTTGTGTAGTTTGAAGAAGATTCTTAAAGTGTAATGCTCTAGCCTTTGAGTCAGTAATGAATTCATTCTCTAAGGCAAACCATATTTCAGTGGAATTCCTACACTTCGATACATATCCAAACATACTTTCGAAAATTGAAGCCAAGAGCCAACTGACTAGAAATTTATCAGTTCGTTTCCACAATATATAGGCTGGATTCAATTGTTCATTAACAGAGACATTACTTGATTTAACCTCACCACTAATTTGACCTAAATCTTGCGTAATATCAGAATCAACAACGATAAGAGGTGAGGGACATGCAATCTTACTAAGAAGATGATCCTCAAGTTCGTGTGAACCAACGGTAGATAGTACCTGAGAACTCCAAAAGCGATAATTGCTTTGAGTGAGTTTGGGATTGATGACTTGTAAGTTGGTGGCTAGAGCTGATGAAGTTCGACTTGCTGAGTGATTCAACAATTCGTTTGAATTGTTGAGTCCATTAGTAGGTTTAGAAGGATTCGCCATTGACGCAAGTCAGTGGCTCTGATACCATGTACAAAAGAAAGACTATTGAGTTAAATCGAAAGAAAAACAGGAAGAAAAAGGGGCAAAAATACTTTCTGATATTTTCTTAAAGAGAAGAACAGTAACAATTACACTTATACGAATTAGCTCAGTAGCTACTTCAGTAGCTTAACTGCTGCTCAAAACGACAACGTAAAAAGACAGAGTTTTAACAAACCAAACGACAGCGTACAGAGGCAACATCTTAGCACTTTGACTTTTATGGTCAATAAATACTATGTAGGAATTAATTTATCAATTTTCAAGTTGACCATGGTGACGGTAATTGTTTCCTTTGACATTTTGACTTAATTTCTCAGAGTGAGAGAGCTTCAAAAGACTGCAAATATATGGAAAGACACTAACAGAATTAGTGCCCAAATGCAAGAAAAAATATAACAAAAAAAGAATATTTAACCAGGAACGGTGGTTCATTTAAGATTTTATTCGGTGGACAAAGACCGGTGGCGAATTAAAGTGGTGGAGTTTCACGTATATTAATTCTATGGATGATTGATTTATCTTTCCATAGTCTTATATTCTATGTTCTTTGTCTTGTATTTTGTTACCAGTTTCACGTTTCATTTGACCGATTCACATGATATGTTTTAAAGCTTTCAATGCTGCTATTTTGGAACCCGACCAGTGCGTTTACATTCTTAATTTCTATTGTATCTCAATTGTTACATTGATGAATTTTTGTTATGTATGTATAATGGAAAGAACAGAAATAGATTTGATGGAGTGAGGAGAAAAACTTATATGAGATAGTCTCATCTTCTCATTTGCCTTGATATTAGATTAAAAAAAAAAAAAAATGCAACAATAATATTCAAATTTAGTAATATTATAATTAGTGACATAACTAGTTAGCCAAGATCATGTAATCATTTACCCTAAAACGAAAGCTTTGTCAACTGACTAAGCTCATTTCTTTCTTTCCAAGTGTTTTTAGGCCCTCACCACCACCACCACCACAACCCCCAACACCCCCACCACCCCCAACACCCCCAATACTGAGACCAATTAAATTTATTACTATAAGAATGTTATAACTTAATAGATGTGTAGTTACAAGAATTATTGTTTTGATAGTATGGAAATGAATATCAAAGAGGTCATTACAAAATTGAGTGATTAGATTCAACAACTTCACCATACTAATCAAATGGATATTAATATCTTCCTTAATTATCTAAATGAGCAACAAGTCGTGTATGATTTAATTGAAGAAGAAATCATTATTGGTATTAGACAAGAGGAGGAAGGGGATAATCTTGAGGATGAATATAGTACGCAAATACCAAAAGTTTCGTGCCAAGAAGCTCCAAACATGCAGTTAGAAATATTTTGGCTTCAACAAGAAGGTGTCCATGTTGGCGACTTATTACATACCCTCAAGATAAAAGATATAGTAATAACTCTAAAACATAAATCATTGTCACAAACAACTTTAGATAAATATTTTATTTCATCTTAAACATTTAATGTAACATAATATATTTTTTTTAATAATATACATACAATTATTATTATATAGAGGCAAATTACTTAAGACGGGATCTAGAAAAACTATAACTTATTATAATGTAAAATTTATTCTTATTTATAACAGGTCCAAGTTGAGACCAAAATTTTTTATGACTATATAGAGTATCACTATAAAAAGATTTTAAACTAGCCGAGGGTGGGTCACCCACTTTATCTATATTTAGTTAAGTGATATTTTTTGGGAACTGATCAAGATCTTTTCCTGATGTTAAAACATTTAGGCCATATCAATGAACACAAGCTAAATATAGCTTCTAGTACAAAATACTACATGCATGAATCATAGTTTTGTAATTGATCCAAAACCCCAAGATTCTATCATTATATATAATATCATTAATAATTTATAGTACAAAATGGTACCATGCATAAACCATCGATTTTAATTGATCCAAAGTCACATGATTTTCCGTCTTCTACAAGCTTACAAAAAACGTGAGAATGCTATTTTGCCTAACTAGCCTAGAAAAAAAAAGACACCACCGCGTTGCTCTCAAAGTCATACTTCAATTTTTAATCAAAAGAATTCCGTCTCCCTCACTTTTCACATACAAATTTACAACATTTTCCTTATTGGCAGGTTTATTTTTTGTATTTTTATTTTTATTTTTGATGGATTATCAAAGTGACTCCACCCACCACATGGAAATTTCCATTATTTGACACATCTCTCATTGTAGGGAACCTTTGTGGGCTACTTCTATAAATTGGCCATCCCTTCTTCATCTTTCCATGTACAAACCAACAACTTGCTTCTTCTTATTCTTCTTAATAATTCTCTAAATCTTGCTTTTTTTAACTTCTTGGTGAAGAAGATGAATAATATTGTTATGGAAGAGAAACGATATGCTCTTTTGCTGGCAGCAAGAGACTCAGATTATGTGAAGAAAGTTTATGGCGGATACTTCAATGTCTTCGTTGCAGCTTTCGGAGAAGAAGGAGAGAGATGGGATTTGTTCAGAGTTGTTGAAGGAGAATTCCCTGAAATGAATGAGCTTCAGAAATACGATGGATTTGTCGTCAGTGGTAGCCCATTTGATGCCTATGGAAATGACTACTGGATTGTCAAGCTTTGCTTCTTGCTCCAAATTTTAGATTCCATAGAGAAAAAAGTTCTTGGCATTTGCTTTGGTCACCAGGTAACCAAATTTCAAACTTCAGTTTCATTTCATTCTCTGCAGCGGACGTCCTGATTTTACGAACTCTTAATAACAATTAAATCTGTCTCTCCTGCAGACGTTCGTATTTTAAACTGTTCACTCAAAGAGATGGTTAAAAGAAAATTTATACAAACCCTTCTTTAACTCTTAGCGAAAAGTATTTTAAAAGAATGCAGAGATTGGCATATGAAAATTTTACCGATAATTTACGAAAGTCTTGTGTGATCCTATGGTTTTGTTCTCAGGTTTTGTGTAGGGCATTGGGTGGTAAAGTTGGGAAGGCTTATACAGGATGGGATATTGGGCTGAGAAGAGTGAGCATGGTGAGGGATTTGGGAAGTTGTAGCTTCATGGAGGAATTGGGAAATGAAATCCCACAATTTCTTTCGATAATAGAGTGTCATCAAGATGAGGTTTGGGAGGTGCCTTCAGGGGCAGAAGTGATAGCATTTTCGGATAAAACAGGAGTTGAAATGTTTACAATTGGAGATCATATTCTTGGGATTCAAGGCCATCCTGAATACACAAAAGACATTCTTTATAATCTCATTGATCGCCTCCTAAATAACAATTGCATTCAGGTAGTAATTATTTAATTAACGCAGATTAATTAATTTATATAATCATGTTGGTTTTTGATATTAATTAATTTCATGATGAATTGCAGAGTGACTTTGCTGATAATGCGAAGCTTGGATTGGAGATAGCTGAACCAGATAGAAAGTNAAGAAAATTTATACAAACCCTTCTTTAACTCTTAGCGAAAAGTATTTTAAAAGAATGCAGAGATTGGCATATGAAAATTTTACCGATAATTTACGAGAGTCTTTTGTGATCCTATGGTTTTGTTCTCAGGTTTTGTGTAGGGCATTGGGTGGGAAAGTTGGGAAGGCTTATACAGGATGGGATATTGGGCTGAGAAGAGTGAGCATGGTGAGGGATTTGGGAAGTTGTAGCTTCATGGAGGAATTGGGAAATGAAATCCCACAATTTCTTTCGATAATAGAGTGTCATCAAGATGAGGTTTGGGAGGTGCCTTCAGGGGCAGAAGTGATAGCATTTTCGGATAAAACAGGAGTTGAAATGTTTACAATTGGAGATCATATTCTTGGGATTCAAGGCCATCCTGAATACACAAAAGACATTCTTTATAATCTCATTGATCGCCTCCTAAATAACAATTGCATTCAGGTAGTAATTATTTAATTAACGCAGATTAATTAATTTATATAATCATGTTGGTTTTTGATATTAATTAATTTCATGATGAATTGCAGAGTGACTTTGCTGATAATGCGAAGCTTGGATTGGAGATAGCTGAACCAGATAGAAAGTGTTGGGAAAAAATTTGCAGGAATTTTCTTAAGGGAAGAATATAGAGAGAATAATTTTGGCCTCTTTAATCAGGCTTAAAATAAATTTGTCTTTAAATGTTAATTAATTATGTTCAAACTCTGTAATTGTAAGTTTTAAGTTTCTTAATATATACTAATCCAACATGGTTAGAAAACATAAACCTCATCAAAAGCAGTAAATATGTATAATTCTCAGTTGGTGAACGTCTTGGCATTTTGTTAATTATATTTGGATCAAGCTACTTGGTGTCAAAAAATTATTAAAAGAAAATTTCGACCATATTTTATACTGGGATAAAGAGGATTGTATTATATACAGTTGTTGCGAGGCTTACGGAAAAGATTTCCAGCAAAAGATAAAAAGATAAACCGACTAATTGCTAAATCTTGGAAGAACAAGATTCTGAAAAGTGCTTTCCCATAAAATAAGTAATTAATACTCTAGAAGCACTTTTTTTGGGTGCAACCGTTATAATACTCATGTAGATGAGAATAAGCAATGGTTTCAGGCTTTCAGCTACTTGATAGAATAATGAATCAAAGTAATCTAATTTTATAATTTATCAAGAGTGGGTAGGTAAGTTTTTAGTTATTATTTTTAATCACGAACTACCATTTTAAGTTGTTTATGAAATTAAAATTAACAATAGTAACTATCAGACAAGTGATTTATGCATTAAAAAATAATTAAAAAAAAAATTATCATACTTGACTACTTAGCAAGAATTTGAGCAAATTTTAAAGATTCTTTGAGTAAGAATTCTTAGACGTGGACGTTTACATTTTTTTAATATACAAACCTTTGTCAACGGGTGATAGTGAAGACTAAGAGACAGATTTTCAATGTTTGTCTTTTAAAGTTAGTTGATTATGACTAATCACTATTCACTAGTGACGCAACTAACAAAGTAGATATCTGTAAAAAGACTGATCAGTAGTTTTTTAAATTATTAGTTGAATATAATTGTGATAAGAGTAAAGATTTAATAAATATAATTAGAAAACGCTTATCGATCACTTTTTTTTTTCTCATCTTTTCAACTTATAGAATCAGTTTAATAAAAATAAATGTTTTTTCTCATTCATTCTCTATATCTTCCATGCATTTGACACCTTTAATTTTATATATTAAGTCTAAGATAAATTTAGGTGTGTGTTGGTTTGGAAAGTGGAAACTACAAGTTAGGCCATGCATATTGCAAAGAGAATAATGGAACCCTATTCTTAATATTGGACAAAAAGTTGATTGAGGAACCTTAAGATTTAGAATTTGAGGATATGGTTAACTTAGTGCTCTTATCACGAATATTTTTCTTTTTTGTGGGTGCAACAGAATAGCCAATGTTCTTCAATTGGAAAATTCTGAATTAACCTTACCAAGATTCAAGCTACATGAATTTCCAGTTTAATTAACATGAATATGACGCTATACTTTGGATGTTCTCCATAGCTTTGAATTATCAAAAATATTCTTAAAGCCATGTTGATAAACTTTCGCTTTCTGCTAAATTCTTTTTTATTAAGATGTGAATGTCTATTCATATAAGGAATGTTTTCATTCATATAATTTTCACGAGTAATTACTAGTGAAATGCTATTAACTTCTTGTCTATAGTCTAAATTATTACTCGATGCAGGCAAATATAATAAATAAATTGTCGTTTTGATATCCTTAAACCTTTATGAACAAATCGCATTTGAGAGAAGAAAATTTTTATTCAGCTTAAGGGATTTGTTTAAAAGCAGAGAAGCTTATATATACAAGTAACCATAGTTAGTCAACCATAGTTAATTAATCATAACAACTAATTAACAACTAACTAACAGATTACTAACTAATTAACAGATTAACTAGCTAACTAAACTAATTAACTGAACCTAATTAACTGATTATGCTAATAATCCAATATCCCCCCTCAAGTTGGTGGGTGATAGAGGTCAAGCACCCCCAACTTGGATAGTAAGTGCTGATGAAAAGTGGAGGGAACAGCTTTGGTGAACAAATCGGCTGGCTGATCCTTGGTTGGGACATGAACAGGTTGCACCAGACCATCCTTGAGCTTGTTACAAACTATATGGCAGTCGATGTCGATGTGTTTAGTTCATTCATGGAAGATAGGGTTGGAAGCAATGTGTAATGCAGATTTGTTGTCACAGCCAAGAGGAATAGGTAGTTGAGGGAAAAAACCAAGGTCCTGAAGAAGTTGATTAGGCCAAATCAGCTCACAAACAGTGGATGCCATGGCGCAGTACTCAGCTTCAGAAGAGGACTTAGAGACTGCAGCTTGACATTTTGATTTCCATGAGATTAAAGAATGCCCTAAGAAGATGCAAAATCCATTAATTGATTTACGAGTCATCAAACACGATGCCCAATCAGAATCACAAAATGCTTGGAGATGAAAAGAACCATGAGCAAGAAATAATAACCCCAAGCCTGGAGAACCTTTAACATATCTGACAATACGTAAGGCTACATGGAGATGAGAGTCTTTAGGCTTATGCATAAACTGGCTAAGCAAGTGGACAACAAATGTAATATCTGGATGGGTGAGACATAAGTAGAGTAATTTGCCAACCAATTTCTGATAAACTGTAGGATTAGCTAAGGGAAGATCCTACTGATGTCGTTGGAAAAGATTTATCAAAGTCCATAGTAGTGAATTTGAATTGTGGATCAAGAGGAATAGAAGCTGGTTTGGCAGCAGCTAAGCCATAATCAGCAACTAACTCCAAGGCATACTTATGTTGGCAAAGACAAATTCCCTTGGAAGATCGAGCAACTTCAAAGCCTAAAAAATATTTGAGAGAACCAAGATCTTTAAGCTGAAAGTTGGAATGCAGTAGAGCTTTAGTTTCTGCAATCAACCTACTATCACTGCCAATGATGACCAGATCATCAACATACACCAATAGAAGCACAATCTGATCATGATTTCGCTTATAGAAGAATGAGTGATCTGCTTGAGATTGAAGGAAACCACCAGCCAGCAAAACATTAGTCAGCTTAGTGTTCCAGGCCCTGGAAGCTTGTTTCAAGCCATACAATGACATATGGAGTTTGCACACTAAGGACTTATCATGATGATTAAAGAAGCCTTGTGGCACTTGCATATAAATGTCCTCTTGAAGGTCCCCTTGGAGAAAGGCGTTGTCAACATCTAAGTGAAATAATGGCCAATTTTTCATAGAAGCAATAGCCAAAACCAGCCTTACAGTCACCATCTTCACCATTGGAGAAAATGTCTCCTCATAATCAATGCTAGCCTACTAGGTGAGACCTTTGGGTACTAATCTGGCCTTATATCTCTCTAGAGTCCCATCAGTATGATATTTGAGCTTATAAACCCATTTGCACCTTATTAGAGTCTTCCCGGAAGGTAGAGGAACAAGGGACCAAGTGCCATTTCTCTCCAAGGCCTAAAGTTCCTTTTGCATGGCTGCAACCCAATGAGGATCCTTGGAAGCTTGAGTAAAAGAAGTAGGCTCAGAAAGGGCTAAAATATTGGACAAACAGGTTTGATAGGTTGGTGACAGATTGGCATATGTGAGATAGTTATGAATAGGGTACTTTAAGAGGCTAATCTGATTGGAGTTGGGCAGGGTAGGACACACAAAGTCAGTGGTCCAAATGGGAGGCCGAGTAGGTCTGTTGGATCTTCGAATCGGAGTGGTAGATACTAGTGGTGTATGAGATAGATTCTGAACAGAGGAAGGTGCAAGAGGTGTAGGGGAGGATCTAGATAGAGTCGAATCTATTTCAGGAATATGGGGAGTAGAGCATGCACTAGGCTCTTCTTCCATAAAAGTAGCAGCATAAATGTCAACTGGAAAAATAGATTTAGGAGCTTGCTGTAATGAGAAAGGAAAAATCTGTTCATAAAATAAAACATCTCTGTTAATGCAAATATTTTGAGAAGTCAAATCATATAGTATATAACTCTTTTTTGTGGATGAATACCCAAGGAAAACACAGGGTACTGATCTGGGAGCAAACTTGTCTTGAATAGGCAGATTGGAAGCATAGGCTAAACAGCCAAAGACTCTCAAATGATCCAAATTTGGCTTATGGCCATAAAACTTCTCAAAAGGAGATAATCCATGTAAAACTTTGGTAGGTAATCAATTGATTATATATACAGCAACTTTGACAGCCTATCCCTACAAGTAATCAGGGATTTGAGATTGGAATTTTAAAGCCCTGGTCATGGCAAGAATGTGCCTATGCTTGCGTTCTACCACTCCATTTTGCTGTGGAGTGTAGACACAAGTGCTTTGGTGTATAATCCCTAAGCTAGATAACAATTCACAACACTGATTATTGAAAAATTCTGTGCCATTGTCAGTTCTAACATACTGAGGAGTGTGATTATACTAATTTTGAACCATTTGCCAAAAAAATTTCAAAGTCTGGAATACATCAAACTTTAATTGCAGCAAAAATATCCATGTGGTCCTAGTGAAATCATCTACCACAGTGAGAAGGAAACGTGCATTACCTTGAGTAGCAACCTTGTAAGGGCCCCAAACATCCAAATGCAGCAATTCAAATGCGTGAGAAGTGGTTGTGTTACTGGTAGGGAAAGATAACCTGGTATGTTTGGCTAAAGGACAAGTTTCACAATGAAACTTGTAATTGTTAGAGTAGATACCCTAGCGCCAATCAATTATTGTAGAATTGACTCTTTGTAATAATGTTTATTAATCAATAATAAAAGGCATTTTATTCTATATCGCGTAAATCATTATTATTTCAATATGTATTGATATATGTCCTTAGAATGGTAGAACCGTGACGAGGGTATCAAGTGTTTCAAATCTTGATAGTGAGAACCCTATGAGCACATATGGTGGCCATTCTAGAAACGTCCGTAGCCCCAGTATTATTCTGAAGTAAGGGCACAGATAATACGGTAAGGCTATCATAGTGTTGAACGACCCTGTCGAAAGGCAGTGACTGATCTCACTTGTCAAGGTTGTTTGGTGACAACCTGGTGCAACACATGGGTGCTTGTTGTAGGCGGATATACCGCAGCAAGTTCACTGGACTGACCCACCAGAGGATTCCATATGGATGGTAACCCCAGTGTCTATGGAACAAATCCTCTAACGAATGGTGGTGCATGTGATCCTTAGACTTGAGATCACCGGAGCGCCTTGTGCACCGATTGGTACAGTTTGACACTAGCCTAACGCAGTTCTATTCAGAGCTGTCAGTACGGTGGTGATTGGCT